ATAGAGGATATTATATGGGCGCGCGGAGATACGAAATTTATCTTCGAGTGTTGAAAAGATCTCTCAAGAGTGAGCGCAGCGAAAGAGTGAGAGATTTTCAACAGAAGATAAATTTCGTATCTCCAAGCGACCATGTAATATTCTGTTTATTATATAATTATCCATAAAATCAACTTAATAAGCTTTTTATTATAATAAAAAGGTTTTATTCATAAACTAATAGCTTAAATACACATGGTAACGATATTTTCAAATATGAAAATAACATGTTATTTTCACATGTGAAAATATCAGTTTTTCGAAAAGGAGAAATATAGGCATTTTATGAATAATTATGTGATAAAAAGCATTAAACGATGTAAAATTATTATTCTTAATTGTCCAATTTTTGAAATTAGTTTTCTGAAATTAAATAGCTATCACAAACAAACAACTCGTTTTTTTCTGATTAAATACACAGAAAGGTGTTTCTACACATGTTGTATAGTCTTAGACCATCATTGTCAACATGGTTCGTCTCATGACCATACTTTTCCCATGCAGTAATAACACAGGGCGACAACTTTAGATAAAAATGGTTGTGTCTCATAAACTTAAAGTAGCACCTAACTTAATTAAAAGTTATTTCACAAATAAGCCCCCCGGCAGGAAATGATTTACATGAGAAAGAATTCAATTTCCCTGGGGGAATGCTTTATCTTTGTGCCTTCTGTCATGGCTGCAATCACGTGATGGTGCAAAGCCTCTATTAAAAGAATTTAAAACACTCATTAATAATTCATAAGCTTATGGTCCAATTGGAGCCACCATACACGTCATGTGCATGAACCTTTATACCCGATAAAGTCCTCTTCATTAGAGTTCAAGTGATTTTATATAAAGACACATGTGATCTTTACATAAAGACAAATCGAATACTATGAGGATGACTTCATCAGGGATGAAGTATGCATCCAAGTTTAGATGAAGACATAGAGCTTCATCAAGGTCATAGTCAACCCTAATGATCTTTGACTAACGTGCCTGATTTTGCATTGGCACGCAATATCCAACGTGTGGGAGCTTCTATTGAATCTGGTTGCGCATGCCCGTGACGTCAAATCTCTATCGAAGTATAAAAATCCATGTTCGTGACGTGTATGGTGGCTCCAGTTGAACCAAAATCTTATAAATTGTTCATGAGTGTTTTAAGCAGTTAAATGCGGTAATGGAGGCTCGATCCAGCTTTCAGAGTGCGCGGGTACTAAAATTGAAACGGCTATAACTCAGTCCTGTTACAAACTTAGGTTAAGCATGATTTTTCGCACAGTTTACTACACGTGGACCAAACTTTACATAAAGCAATTTAAAACAAAATATTGCGATAGAAGTTGCAGCAACCTCTTCGGCTCTGACGTGATGTTTTCCCATTTCAGACCACGTCATTCCCTAGAGTATCATTTCTTTGTTTAAGGTTTGCGCTCGGTCGCATATGAGAAGACACATGAATATGGATACAGCTTAAACAAAGCCAGTCCTATTCTCAAGGGAATGACACGTGGTCTGGAATGGGAAAACATTACCCCAAGCCAAAGAGGTCTATTGTTGTGAAAAGTAGAATTCTACTTTTGGCAACGATTGAGTATTCAAAGTAAACACTCTTGCAACTTGTGTTGCAACCGCTGTTGCGAGACAAGTTGCAGAGAGAATTGCTCCAAGTAATCGAGCCTTTAATTTTGTCTTGATCTTTATCTTGTCACGATCGTTTCATTGCGGAGCAATGCGGTTATTTCCTAAATACCAAAGAGCAGCTTTGCGGAACCTTTTGCAATGGAACCAATATAGAAAAGGGTTGACACTGGAACTCGCAATAAAGATGCCAAACAAGAGACAGTCTACATAAACATGAGAAGCAAGATGATGATAGCTGAAAATTGAACGAGCAACTGCATAACAATAATGTGGGACGCTACACAATACAAAAGCTATAATAATAAACCCTAGTAATCGTGTTGTTTTCTTCTTGGAGTTAAGTGCAGCTTGTTGTCTTGAACTAGTGATGGTGTTGCAGATAATGTTCTGTCGGGCATTCAAGGCTTTTTTTATTTTCCAGTAGGTATAGCTCAATGTGGTGACCGGAAGAAGGATCCCGCGAAAGACAATCGAAATTCCTCCTCCAATTTTACTAGTCATCGGCAAAACTACCAACTTTGAACACCCGGGCATCGCAAAATCCGCGTATATTCTTGGGGAAAGCGACAAAAGAGACACAGCCCAAATTACTGGAATCACATACTTCAAGTTCTTGGTACTTCTAAACTTCACGGACTTGAAGGGCTTGGCAATGAACAAATATCGAACAACAGAGATAAAGATAATTGTGGAATAAGAGCTATTTACTCCAATATACACAAAATGTTGGTTGAAAACAATTTTGCAAAGTATGGGGTGGAGAAATGATTTGTCTTCCATAGTTATGTCCAACACGGCTTCAAGAAGAGCGAACATACCAGCGAAGATATCCGTTACAGACAAGTGCACCAAAAGAAAATTAATATAAGTCTGGAAGAACCTGTTTCTTAGGACAACCAAACATACTAGGAAGTTCCCGAGAAAGTTTGGCAGCACGATGGCAGACGTTAGGACCAACTTAACCACCTCCAGTTTGTCGTTCTCATGCATTTTGGATTCTTCGGTAATAATCTTTGCGTCTTTTGGAGAGAACTAAAGTAAAAAAGAAAAAAAGGAAACAAAAATCTTCAAAATTTTTTTCATTTTTTTCATTTTTTATATTTATTAATTTTTTATTCATATTTCACAACATTATAACATACAAATGGCTATACAATAATAATAATAATAATAATCTAAAGCTAAATAAAGAAATAAATAAAATAAATAAAATAAATAATAATCAAACTAAATAGTAATTAAATAAATAAATTATACTAAACTGAAATAATAGATTAAATTTCAAAAGAAAAACAAGACGCTGTGACTATTCCTTAATAAATTAAAATTTCAAGTCATGAAACTTTCAATTTTTAAAAAAACATTTCACACTGGTTCAAAAAGCGCCACTTCTCTTGAACCATGATCGAAATACATCAAACCCACAGAAATGAAAATTGCAGAYAGTTTTCGAAGATATACCTTAGTTAAGTGGTTTGGTTTTTTGTTTTAACGACAATGAAGCGCCCGTCGCACTAAACTCTAAATCGAAAAATTTAATTTTTTCACACTCTTAACAAAATAGGATCGTGAGTCCACAACATTTTGACAGCTAGATGACGAAAAAAATGGTAAAGAAGAGAACATAGCAATGAAAATCCTAACAAAATTGTTTTTTGCCACAAAAAAAAAAAAAAAAAAAAAAAAAAAAAAAAAAAAAAANTCTAAATCGAAAAATTTAATTTTTTCACACTCTTAACAAAATAGGATCGTGAGTCCACAACATTTTGACAGCTAGATAACGAAAAAAATGGTAAGGAAGAGAAAATAGCAATGAAAATCCTAACAAAATTGTTTTTTGCAAAAAAAAAAAAAAAAAAAAAAAAAAAAAACTACAAAAACAAGGGTAAAATTTGAAAGAAAAATGGTGTTTCGAGCGCGCGCGAGATTTGCTGACGTGATTTATTGGAATGGTCTCCTATTTCCCCGGCTCTAGACCAATCAGAAAGCGAGAAAATTCACGATAGTGGTAAAAATGAATATGCTTTATTAGAGTAAGCTAATTTTTCTAAATTCCCCTTGTTTTTGACGCAGATTGTGAAGCTAGTCGGTTAGAAAACTCATAAGGGGTTTGAAATTGTAATCCTATGACCATGCTTTTTTACTTTACATAAATGATCTACCTAATTGTATGTTGCATTCATTCCCAAGAATGTATGCCGATGATACAAGCATTACAATGATGATCTGGTGAGGGTTTACGCATGGCTCGCTGACATAAGCTTACAATTAACAAGTCCAAAACAGAATATCTGCTCATTGGCTCTCGACAGCGGTTATCGAGACTTCCTGCTGCCCCTCACCTGACAGTCAATGACAAAAACGTAACTCAGGTGTCCTCAACTAAATCTCTCGGCGTGATTATCGACGGAAATCTGAGTTGGGGGGACCATATTCAGTCAATATCAAGAAAAATTGCATCAGGTATAAGTGCTTTAAAAAGGATTAAACACTAATTGTAGTTTATAATGCTCTCGTTCAACCGCATTTTGATTATTGCAGCGCAGTATGGGATGGTTGTAACAAAGGTGTCGCAGACAAACTACAGAAGCTTCAAAATCGTGCTGCGCGAATCATAACCTTCACGAACTATGATGCACGAACGAATGATATATTTCGTAGTTTAAGCTGTGTACCCTTACAACAACAAAGGGCCTTTGCCAAATCACTAATGATGTTCAAAACTTTAAATAACCTGACTCCAGATTATCTTCAAAATATATCAAAATTATTTCAAAATTTATTGATCGTAGCAAGGTAATTAAGGCCTAGGGCAAACGTCGAATTTTCCATGCACCGAACTTAATTACATCAAAGAATGCCGCCTCATTATCACCTGATATCCATTATTTTTTAATGAGTTCGGTGCATGGAAAGTAAGACATTTGCCCTAGGCCTAATACGATTTAAGAAACGCAGAACGTAAGGCCTAGAGCAAACGTCGAACTTTCCATGCACCGAACTCATTAAAAACAATGGATATCAGGTGATAATGAGGCGGCATTTTTTGATGTAATTAAGTTCGGTGCATGGAAAGTTCGACGTTTGCCCTAGGCCTAAGGTAGTTCTGCCCTTGCCACGGACAAACTGCTTTAAAAAAAGCTTCAGTTATAGTGGTGGCTTTCTCTGGAACAGCTTACCAAGTGAACTGAGAAGAGCTACAACTATAAAGTCTTTTAAATCTTTAATGCTACAACATGAAATTAAAAACTATCATTTTGTATTTTATTCTTTTCAAGCACGGCATCCTTGTAAAGCAGGTTTTATTTTCCCTGAGGAATACATTTAACTATAAATATATATAAAGTTTAGTGTAGAGTACAAACACTAGACTATAAGTGTATAATATAAATACCACTAAATACTGCTAAATACTGCTAATCCTATTGTTTTCTATTGTTTAATTAGCACTATTTACTACTTTATAGTATACTTAACAAAATTACTCGAATTTGATTGGTCGAGAGGAGTACAATTATAGCGTTAATTGTACTCCCTAGGAGTACCGAATTAAGTCGCTATGGCAACACGGCCAAAACAATGTCAAAACAATTATTTTCTTTCATTTTGTACTTAAAAACATAAATAAAATTTCAAAGCCGTAAGAACTAATCTTTTTTATGCATTTCAGTTGCGATGAACGGCGTCGCTTCGCATGTTTTACTGAAATTTTGTTGAATGAACTATAAACAAAAAATCGCACGATCTTCTCGTACTTAAATAGTGCAAAGTGTTGCACACTTTTAGTGTTTGTACTCTAGTGTAGAGAAGAGTAGTTTAGTCTAATAAGCTTAGTTTATTCTATGATATAATTTCAATTAATTAGTGATATAATGTAAATTTTCCTGAAGGATTTACCGTGGATAAATAAAATTAACTAACTATCTATGCTCCGGAATATTCAGATATGCAAATTAAGTGTTCTGATGTCATATTCGGACTTATAAGTTTGGCTTCAAGATGGCTGCTTCTCACAAATCAAACTTCTGGCTAAATTTCCTGACTTTCAGAGAGGATTACTGAATCTTTTGCTCAAACATTCAGGATATATGTCTTTAATTTAGTTTAGGGAATTTTTGAAGCAAGATAACGTGATTAACATGAAAGAAATTTGTCAAGAAAAAAGTTTAATATTGCAAAGCATCGCACAAAATAAATGTATGGCTGTTTACACGTATCAAACTCCTATGAGTTTCTGAAAACTCTCAATAATCAAGAGGAAGTGATAAATGGACATTTCGTAAATCGTCTCCATCATTGAGAATCATTTATCATAAATGATTGAATATTTTTCTTCTTGTGCGTAAGTTAAAGGTAGGATTCCAAATGATTTTTTTATTTATTAAAATAAAACCTTCTTTTTGTAGTTATAGCCGATTTTTTGTGTGTGTGTGGAAGCTACCTTACGAAATAAAACATAATAAAATATTCATTTAGAAAATAAAATATAAAATATTCATAATATAATTTATTTTCATTTATTTATTTTTAGTTATTTATTTATTTATTTATTTTTTTGTGGAAGATATTTTTCAATATCGTTCTTTTTAATTCTAAAAAGAAATTATCAAAAGCAATAAAATAAAATAAAATGAGAAAAATTGAAAATTAAATAACATAAAAGAATCTAGTAAATTTCTATCAAATAATGACCATATTCTTCATCTGAGATTCACTCTTCGATCCATTGAGAGAAAGAAAAAAATTAAACAATAAATAACTGATATCGCTATGCGCTACGACCTTGTGTTACCCTCGTTTTATATATTTATTTTTATTTGACATCGAGCTATAAACAAAATGTTGACCGATTCTGTAGCGCTAAGAATCCACTCAGGTGGARAAAGAATACGAGTGAGCCTTTAATAATTTGGATATTTTTCAGTTGCTGGATAATAACCGAATGATATCTTAGAAGCAACAGTGTCATTTTATAATATTTCGAATATTTTATAATATTTTGAATAGAAATGCTTGACTCGAAGCAATAAAAATGCGCTTAAAAACACTTTCGTTTTGGCTAAAGAATTTCTGGAAGCTTCCCAAAACAGATTCTCAAAAAAGTGCACTTTTTTGAATATTTTTATAGAAAATCTAAAGTTCTCGAGTTGCCTTTTTATAAAGAATCATAATATGGCACAATGTGGGATTCTTTGAACTGGTTCTCCAATTTTGATAGGGTAGAGAGAATACCTTTTTGCACTTTTTTGAAACGTCACGACTTAACTGCAGCTGGACGACACTTTTCCAGCGACAACTGTGAATGTTTAATTTAAAAAAAAAGAGTATTTAAGCATATTTTTTCACTTACTCTTCTTTTTACAAGCGTCTATTCACGGCAATAACACTGTCGAATAACGAAGGCTGCACGAAAGTGCCTTCCTTGTCAATGATGAAGAAGAATTTGTACCCTTTGATTTTGAGAGCTATTTGTGACTTGTTATCTGCAGGAAAAGAAAAAAGAACAAAATATAAGATGATTTCGCTGTGAAAATTTTGTTGATTAGTGCACTTGAAACGAGCGGAAAAGGAAAAAGGAGAGACAGACAGCACACGGAGAGGAGGGACAGAGAGGACAGTCGAGGGACATAAGAGCAAAACAGCGGCTACTCTTGAAATTAAAGTCACTAGGAGTAAAAACGTTTCCAATACTTGATTTAAGTCCTATTTAAATAAGCGTGGTGGGTAACACAAATTCATCACAAAGACAGGTCAACACTGGAGTCCTCCAAGGAAGAGTACTCGGACCACTAGTATTTTTGTATACACAGCGCTGTTCGCCTGATAATAAGGCTTCTGTTCTGCATCCACTGGGATGGAATTGCAGAAGGTTAAACTCAATGAAAACCTAAATCACACAAAGAACTGGCTCAATACACATAAACTCACTTCGAATGTGAAGAAATCTAAATTCATAATCATTGGTCAGTTTTGGTTTCAATAATTCGGAAATCGACCCTGAGACTGAGACTCTTGAACAGACTAGACAATATAAATATCTTGGTCTGATATAATTATGAAAATTGGACTTGGTCCCATCATGATTGGTCACATTCATTCAAAGATTCTAAAAGGCTAGGTTTACTTAAAACAATCAAACGACTATCTAGGAAATTAGTGAAATAGTATTCAATTTTAAAAAACTCATTAATAATTCATGAAGAAAACACAATAGAAATCATGACCATGAAGGAGGTTTTATATCTGATATAGATTCGTCTTCATTTGCATAAACTTTAACTTGGATTTTCTCTATCAAACTTGGTTCATTTCGTAAAGAATTCGGTACAGTATGAGAACATACATCAGGAGTTTTTTAAGCCGTTTAATAAACTCGCAGATCGTGTTTTATCGGGTCTAAAACCACTCGGCTACGCCTCGTGTTTTATACCCGATAAAACACTCCTGCTCGTTTATTAAACAGTACATATAATATTGCCTATATTCGCTAGCAAAAATAGATTTAATATCATAGTTTACGAGATTTTTCACACTGAACTTATCAATAATAATGGGAGGTTCTTATATAGCGCATTTATGCAACGTCTCAATGAGCTTTACATTTATGACCAGTGGAGGACTTTACGGGCTGCATATTAAAGTGCTATTACCAGCAGTGCAGCTTACAATCATGAGTGATTTGATAGTACATTAGTGTTATGCCTCCAGACAACCTTCCATTATTACCAAAGTCAATACTAATAACAACTATTAGTAAAAATACACACGCGATTAATTGAAAATCTCGCGCGCTGATTGGTCGAGAAACTCACACTATCACACGATAATCACCTCGAGCGATAATCCAAAATGGTGGCCAGCCACTTTGTTGCTGTTACCGGAAAAATATGWCTTTTATCTTTTTTTTTTTTAATCATTTTATTTATTTATACTAAAACAATTATTGCCTCAGCCTCAGTGAATATTGGAGAATATTCCCCGATATTCTTTTCGCCTTCGGCGAATAATCGTTAAATATCAACTAATAAGTCGATGTTTTTTTTCAAGTCAGGAAATTAAATAGATCTATTTTTATATTTAAATATTTTTATTGATTTTATTGATTTTAAATTCGATAGGATGCATTCGTACAACTGACTATGAACAAGAATAATAAAAAAGACTTTGCCTTTTACAATAGCTACCAATGTATAAAAGAATGGAACAGTAATGATAAAAAGGTAAATTATACACCGTGAAAAGATGAAAAAACGTAATGACGTTCGGACGCTAGTCCTTCGTCGGAGTCTCTTTTACTCCGACGAAGGACTAGCGTCCGAAACGTCAGTAAGTTTTTTTCATCTTTTCACGGTGTATAATTTACCTTTTTATCATTACTGTTTCATTAGAAACACCGACGCAGCTCACACTAGTTTTTAGCTTGTTATATCTTCTTATAAAAGAATGGAATGACCCACCCGAAGATATTGGGCCATCTTTTAGTTTTCCAAATCTTAAACGTAATTATTGGTGCTATGTAGATTATGGTCCTATATTTGATACATTAAAATATAGTTTGGATTCTCATAGTTTCATATATATAATACATTCAGCTACGCCTCAATCATATTTCTAAGCTTGCTTCTTTCATGCTCTACAGCTCCCAGCGAGTTTATATCACAGTAAGGACATTCTGATTCGCGCGCGTGTTATATTCCTTAAATAGAGGATATGATACATGGGCGCGCGGAGATACGAATTTTATCTTCGAGTGTTGAAAAGATCTCTCACGAGTGAACGTAGCGAATAATAAAATTCCTATCTCCAAGCGGCCATGTAATATACTGTTTATTATATAATTATCAATGAAGTATGTTTTGGCTTTTTCAGGCAATTCTTTCCGTGTATTTTTGAATAGCCATCGCAATGGTGTTATTTTCACACGTGAAAATAACATGTTATTTTCACGTGTGAAGATATCAATTTTTCGAAA